CCCTTTGCTCAGGCTGTCCCCACTAGCTTGGGTGTGTTTACCCTTTCTCCCCACTCTGCCTCTGCCTTTTGAGATCTTACTCATTTGTAGCAGTGAACAGTGATCTGTCCATAGGCATCAAAAGCTACTCTTGCTGTTTGAAGCAAGTGTAGCTGTTTTATCAATGCTGTTTAATTAGGTACTTACAAAATCACTGGGACGGGTGGAAGAGGGGCCTCTGGTCTGGGTCTCCAGGCATGACACCCATAACACCAGCACTGAACTGGCCCACAAAGGGAGCCACTCCTGTCTTCACATCCAGGGAGATGGGTGATCAGAAGGCTACCGCTGGAGCAATGGCTTTCAGGACACACAGCAAGGGCTGCAGTCCAGGGGGAGGCGGTCGCCACCACAGCCATTGCAATGGTCTCTCAACACCCTTGCAGGCAGTGACTGGACACTGGAACACTGCTTGTCAGGAGTAAAAGACAAAACAGATGAAGATGTAGGAAGATGAGCTTTGCCTTACTCTAGTCTTCTAAATACATGAGTATATAACAGTAAATAAAATGAATATGCATGGTATAGCACAAATAACACCCCTTTTTTATTACAAAGTCTTTTAGTACAAAATCATAAGCATGTAATTCTGTAACATAAGAATATCACACTCAAGCACACCATATGACATTTTAGGTGAATGTTCAAATTAAAACTATAAATTATTACACCCATATTATCACCCTACCAACCACACTCAAGCAGGTATTACTTCTGCTGGCCCTGTATATGTAAACCTAAACACCAAATATAAATACAAAATATATAACTATGAGATTAAGTAACTTGCACAGATTGTAAGCATCTTGACCTAAAAACACATTTTATTACCTATGCCCCCGCATCGTACTCCTAGAATAGTGTTTTGCCCAAATGCTCCATAAATGTTTACTGAATCAATTGAAAGTAGATACGCTTTGGAAACTGTCTTCCTCTCTTTGGGTTTTAGTGTTCTCCTTTGAGAAGTGAAGGGCTTGGACATACTGATCTCTAAATTCTTCCTAGCCTATATCCCTGAAGCTTCCTTGGGTTGATTTACAAGGGCAGCTACAAGAAGAATTACCATTATAGTTCTCTAACTGTGTGCCATGTTCTATTCTAAGTACTTTGCATTCATCGTTTCCTTTGAGCCTCTCAACAGCCCCACGAGGAAGTTATGGTCCTTGTCCATCCCTGCTTCACATGTGAGGAAATGGGTGCTCAGAAAAGAGAAGTCGCTGATCCACAGTCACACCACTAGTGAGTGGCTGAGCTCAAATGCCAAATCATGTCTGCCTGACTCCAAAGTCTTCCTTCTCTCAGAGAGAATGACATCTTAGGTGTAGTTTTGTCATCTTTTCCCCCTTCTCCTCTTCCCATGTATTCTTTTTTTTTTCATTTCATCATCATTCAAAAGCACAGCAGGTCCCCTGGCCTATATCTTATGAGTCTTACCCTTTTTCTTGGAACTGAAGTAAAGAATATGTTTCTTGGTATTGAACACATGTGACATGTGTTGAAAGCAGAGAGCAATTTTCGTTGCTGGGTTGGTTGTTGATAAACACTTATGAGCTGGTCCCATCTCCCTGAACAGGGACACATACCCCAGGACCTGGTTTTGATAGCCATCAAGAGATTAAAAACTAGAGAACACCATATTGAACAATTTCTTCTCTGCATTGATTGTCTAATATTGTTCTTTTTATAAAACCCACCTATTTTTGTAATAAAATGTTCAATGTCATCTTAGGTTTAAAATCCATGTTTATATGCATAGAATGAGGTCAGGAAATGCATACTAAAGTTATTACCCATGTTTTTATGTAGGTAGTAAGTTATGACTTTTTGTTGATTTTATTTTGTTACGTGCATAGTCTGATTTTTTTCTATCATGTTTGTAAGAACAGAAGAATGACAAAGCAAAATGTTGACCATGCTTTGAATTGGCATGCTCTTAAAGCTGAATCTGTCGCAGGCCTTTCCCCTGTGCCCCTGACTCTCAATCAGTGAGATACAACACTCTTGCATGTCACTTACCCACAGAAACCTGACTTCAGCATTTACCAGTCTGTCTATAGCTTAGAACTTTCAGTGACCAGGACTCTCTATGTTTGTGACTTTTGACTTTCAGAATGAATTTTCACACATAGTTTTATGGGCCTTATTTGATGTGAAAACAACAAAACTGTTCCTTACTCAGATCTCTAACTCATAAGGGACTTGAGAAGGTACATTATGTTATCTCAAAGTCAAAGAGTATTCCATAGTGGGAAATAAAATTATTATTTTTAATTAAAATTTTTAATGTATTGTTTGAAGAGAGAGAGGAAGGAAGGGAGGTGGGGAGAGAGAGAGAGAGAGAGAAACAATAATGTGAGAGAAATATCGATTGGTTGCCTCTGGTAAGTGTCCCAACTGAGGACCAAACCCACAATCTAGGTGTGTGCCCTGATCAGGAATTGAACCCATGACCTTTCAGTGTAAGGGATGACACTCCAACCAACTGAGCCACATTGGTCAGGTTAGAAATAAAATTATTTAAAAATCAGAAGATTATAGAATGGTACACTTGAAACCTCTATAATTTTATTAACCAATGCAACCCCAATAAATACAACAAAGAATAAAAAAGTAAAAATGATCACTAACATTTGCACAGTATTTTAGAGTTTACATGGTCTATTCATTTGTTATCACATTTGGTCTACACGGTCTTCTACATGGTTAGGACAGGGATTGATATTTAATTTTATAGTTGAGAATACTGAAGCCTGGAGTGTCCAGCTAGGAAGAGGCACAGCCAAGACTTGCAGAATCCACATTCTTTGATGCTTACCACTTCAACACAGCATTTCCATTCATTAAATGGGTTGATACTAGGTATTCAATAAAATGATAGCCACTGTCACTGCTGCCTGTCCTTCTCCACTTCCTTCTCATCACAGTCCTCCTCCTTCTTTTGCCTCGTCTTGTACTCAGTGTCCTTATGGCATATTGTATTTTGAGAGGCTTAATGTCTGTTTATGAATGTAGTAGAACCCCCAGAAGAGGAGGGGAGACGCCAAAGGCAGAAAATCATCCCTGTCTCATTTCCTTCCCTCTCTTTTCACTCTCCTATTTCTTCCCTCCATCTTTCATCCTTCAGTTAGTTCTATAAATATATATTTTGGGCAATCTTTTATTGCCTTAAAACACCTGATTTACAAATAGAAAATACAAATTATGTTTTTAAAATAAAGCAATGGATTTGGTAAACATTTTAACATACAGGGTCCAGCACAAGCAAAGTCCCTTTTTATTACAAAATCATAAGCATGTAATTCTGTAACACAACATCACACTCAAGCACACCATTTGGTATTTTAGGTGAAATATTCAAATTAAAACTATAAATTATTACACCCATATTATTACCCTACCAACCACACTGAAATAGGCATTACTCTGCCAGACTCTGTATTTTAAAGGGCTGAAGAGTAAACACCTTTCTCCTTGTCAAAAAAGTAAAGCATACTTTCTCTCTGCTTCTCTTGCACACCTAACTTACTCCCCCCACCTGAAGTATGAACTTCTTTTATTATGTACAGAGTCTGTGTGTGTACACACACACACACACGCGCGCGCACACACACACACACCCCATACACACCTCTGGCTCTTCTGGCAGTGACCCAAGCACCACAGCACTGTTGCCAGTGCACGCTGTTCCTTAGATGCTGAACCCAGGGCAGTAGCCACAGCAAAAACAGCACAGTGGTCATGATTGCAGCTGCTCAATGTACAAGAGAAATGACCAAAATGCTTTATGTTCAGGAGATGCTGCCTAGGCCTACGAGTGGAGTCAGACAGCAGGTCAGGCAGGAGAGGAGGTTAGCTCGGGTTGGTTTCAAGGCATTCCCTTTAAATTTAGAACATTTGATAAAAGGTTACTGCTGTGGGGTGGGTGTGCAGATACTGTCCCCATCAGAGGAGGGGTACACTTAATCAAGCAGACTCAATTCCCACTACAGGGGCCGCCTTTCCTTCTGCCCCTTTCCTGTCATCTCAGAAGCAGCTTTGGATTTCTCAGGGTGGGATGAGTCAAGGTTTGTTCTCAGTAAAGATCACAGGAAGTTGGCTGGTATTGCCCTCTCTCCAGAGAAAACAAGCCCTTAGTTTCTGAAGGCAGTGTCCAGATGAAGGCACCAGAAGTGACTGCAACACAGACAGAATCTCTGGACAAGGACTTCTTTTGTAGAGAAGAACCTTCCCATTCCCAAATCGAGCTACCAGAGTTCCCAAATACAGGCCCCCACAAACGCACTCAGAAGGTATCCTCCAGCTCCCTCACACACCTCTCTCTAATCGGTTTTTCCTTCATGGCCACAACAAAGTTTTTCTCAAGTTAATTGATGTTTAGTTTGATCAGCTCCTAGGAGAGTAGGTTGGGAGACATCCCAACATTAGGCCAGGAAAACCTAGGCCCAGGGTGCCCTTGGGTTTGTTCTGTTGGAGCTCTCTCTCCCATAGAATGTTAGCAGTCAGTCTGATGACCCTCATCCAGAGCAGCTGCTGCTCCTTAGAATCTGGGCTTCTAAGGGTCTTAAGACACTAGAAGAAGTTAATATCCTGAATAAGCTTGCTTTCTGTGGTAACTTGGCAGGCTTTCTCCAAGAGGGACAGAGGTGAGGAGGAAAGGCAAGGCACCAAGCCAGGACTGACTCCACTACTCACCAGCCTCTCCCAATACCAGGTCCCAGAACCTAGAAGGGGAGGGGGTGGGAATGGAATCTGCATTTGGAGAAAGGTGTGATTTGCCTGAACCAGACCATGCAGGCTCCTGAGTGGGTTTCAGGAGGCATAGGCACTGCTGTCCAAGATGCAAACATTCCAGCCAGTTCTTTGCAAAAGCTGCCGCTACAAAGACCTTTGTGCTGGCAGTGAGAGCCGTGCTGACTGAAGACGTGGTGGTGGTGGTCCTGAGTTACAACCACCTTTTTCTCTCAGAGATGCTCCTCAGACACAGTGGCAGGTACTTTGCGGGTATTGCTCTCCTCCTCCTCCTCCTGGAGTTTATTCTCAGGATTTTCTTTGTTTGCTTTCTGCCTCCGGAGATCTGCCTTGATGAATGCAGTGAGGGCTGCTCCGAGGGTGAGGAACACACAGAGAAAGATGTTCCCGTGCATAGTTCCGTAGTTGTTGATTATCTGGCCCTGGGAGATGGTGAAGATGATCCCAAATACCTGGGCAGACACGTTGAGGAGGCCAGACGACATGCCTTCTGATTCTGGGTATGTCAGCTCCACAGCAAACTCAAATCCCAGCGGGAGATAGCTGGTCATAAAGAAGCCCATTGTGCCAGCGGTGATGAACACTACCCACAGATGTCCCAGGTTCAGGGTCATTGTGTACACCACCATGCCCACCAGAGTCATTATATAGACCACCAGGATTGTCTCCTTGTAGGTTTTAGACCTATCCAGCCAGATGCCTGAGATCACAGCCCCAACCATTCCTGCAATGACAATGGTCAGGCCAATTCTTCCAGCATTCACTTCTTCCCCTGGATAGTGCAAGATCACCATGCGGTTCAGCAGGGTGGACAAGGCGTAAAAAGCCCCAGCATTCAGACCATAGGTGATGACAAGCAGTACAAAGTTGAGGTTTTTGAAGAGCCGGGCGATGGAACTTAAGTATGAAGCATCAGGGGATGCCAAGGCGTAGCTCAGGAACTGGGCCCTGCTGGGGGGATATTTAGGCTTCTCCTTGAATATGATGATGACAAGGATAAAAAGAAGAGTGGCAAAACCTCCTATTATACAGAACATGAGGCGGATGTGGTAGGCAAGCTTGTCCTTGTCTTGGATATTGGGTACCAAAACAGGAGGGACAAAGAACCCAATTGCAATTCCAAGCTGATTGCCAAAGACAGCTATAGAGCAGGCCTTTGAAACCTCATTAGGTCCAAACCAGACTGAAGCTATGCGGGAGGGCATGCCCAGGATGAAGACCTGGGCCACAGAGCAGATGACCTGGCCCAGCATGGTGACTGCGAAGAGATGTGGCTGCAGGCTGCCCAACTTCACCCAGGCCCCCAGGCAGTTGAGAGCAGAGCCAGCAAGGGCAATGGTGCGCAGGCCGAATTTTTCCAGCAGCCAGGCGACCGGCAGTAGTAGAAAGATGTAGGTCAGCATGTAGCACATGGACAGCCAGTCGATGGCAAAGGGACTGACCTCATAAAAGTTCATGAAGATGTTATTGATGGAGCCATACTGGATCCATTGGAAGGCATTGCACATTGAGTAGCAGCTAAATAACAGGACCACCGCCCAACGGCGCTTGCTTACCTTGATCACACTGAAGTCCTCCCGAGCTGAGCTACTTGGGTGGGCCAAGCCAGCCGGTTGGAGCAAGGTACGGCGGTGGGCTGAATTGCTGGCGTACACAGAGATGCTGGGGTCCGCCTGAAGCGCAAACTCCTGCTCAGGGGTGCCGTCTCTCTCCTCCAGGTTGGGATCTTCATCCACCATGACCACGGCCTCTCCTGGAGCCCTGAACTGGTGCTGAGGATTCTGGCACTCTTAAGGGACAGTAGCCTCGGCTGGTCCCCTGAAGCTGACAGGGCACTTGCCTCGGTCTGTCGGTCTGTCCCAGACGAAATGGAGACTCAAGCATGCATAAAAGCCACAAGTTGGTTTCCCAAGCTCACCTCCAAGCTTTTGCTCCCAACTTTTCCGTGGGGCCCGCTGTCCCCAACCGCTGCTCCCAGGCCAGCTGAAGACCCCTCAGCCGCGTCCTGGCCGCCGGTGCCTTTACTCGTTTTAAGGCGTTCGGGCCACGTTCAGCCCCCGGTCCAGGAAAGAATTCGCTCTTTGCATAGCCACTTCGCCCGACTCTGCCCGTTCCTGGGCTGACTTGGGGCCTCGCCCCCTAGGGCCCACGTGACCGCCCCGCCCCCATCCCGCCCGGCCTCCCTGGGCCTCCCCGGCCCTCCTACCTCGCCCCTCCTTTCTCTTCCCCTTACACCGTCCCCCTCCCAATAACCTTGGGCCTGGAGGCCCAGTTGTTTCGCCACAGTTTGCCGGGTGCATTCCTTCCCAATACCCCGGGCGCCATGGAAACCGTCCGTTTAACCACCGCCCCCTGACATGCTCCTCCAATTCATGTGCCCCTCCCAGAGGACTACGCCAGAAAATCCCATCCGCCGTTCTGAGGTAACCCTCCAAACAGAGTTTCCTCGGGCCGGTCCCCATCTTCTCCGCTATAAATACTTGTTTTAAACTCTCCTGGAGAGTCACTGGAGATTCAGACTTAGCCATGGCAGATGGCCTGAGAGGCCAGCTTTCATAACCGGATTCTTCTCTTTTCAGCAGCGAAAGATAAATATTTTACGATCAGCATATTTTATCGATGAACTCAGGCTTTCTGATTGCTTTCCATCAGCGGAGCCTGGTTAATTTGTTGCCTTGGCTTTTTAAAATGTTTGTTGTATGTAATGTATTCATGACAAATAACCAGTTGCTTTTGTTTCAAGGAAAGTCATCTTAGAGGGACAAGTTACAATATGTGCTTCCCACCCAACTGTAATTTTAGATGTGATAAAATAACATCTACAAGCATTACTATAAGGGGCCAGGTGTGGGCTATAATAGTGCCTAGCATATGCCTTTATTTATCATACTTTGTTGTACTTGTCAGTTTACTTGTCCACACCCCACTCCTCTTCACTCTACTGCATCCTCCTTAAGGGTAGGTCTGCGTCTTAATCACTTTTATATCCCCAGGGTCTGATACATATTAAAAGTAGAATAACAATGAAAAATAACATGGCCTCTGCACAAAAGAATAATTTACAAGCTTCTGAAGCTTTCTGGAAATATCCTGAGGCTTGAGTTCATCATCTGTTCAGCAGGTGCAGGAGTGATTTTACAGAGTGGCTGCTCAGGGACTCTGGCTTGCCTCTCCCTCCACCCTGTTGTTTCTTCTTAGTCTTCTTGGTCTCCTCCTTGTCCTTCAGGGCCATGCTTGCATCAGCAAATCCTGGCTCCTTCACACTTGGCAATGAAGAGTTTACGGTCTGTTTACAAAGAACGTCAAAGCCCTGTTTTAAGTCTATGTACTAACTTCCCCATGTTTTCATTTTGTTTAGAGTACTAACGAGATCTTAGAAGTTGCCGTTTCTGCCTGCTAACATATTCTCTGAGTCTGAGCCCAATAAAATGAATCATTAAAATATTTAATTCAGCTGCCAGAAACAATAATGAGGATAAACATCTTGGAGGCCCAAATTGATTATTCTGTGCTCCCAGTCCATCTGTGAAAGCTGTTTCTCTATCCAGCCCTAAACGATTGTAAGTACAAGGGCCATAAGACCACAGTCAACAGGAAATTACAAAACTCTTGGCCTCTAAAAGCGAAGCCCAACCTTTCCTTTAGAAGTCCATGGCATTGGAATTGAACAAGTTCATGTTAAAGACATAGAGAGAAGTAGCACTGGACCTTAACAACCACCTCGGTGGCTGACAAGCTCCATGACCGTGGGGAAGTCACCAAACTTCTCTGTGACTCTGTGGAGACATCTGACAAGTGAGGGCACTCAATACTGAGTGCCTACGTGGAGTTACCAGGCAGTTTAAGGGCACCACAGTGTGTGGAATGTGCTCTGTAAGCTGGAAGGTGCTGACATGCACATAGGAGGGGTTTCTCTTAGGGTGGCTGCTTGGTCACAGATCTTGCCCAAGTTTGCTTTAGCTCCAGTTTACAGACATTTAAGATTAGTATTCCTGTACAATGTTACTCAGATTACTTCTGAAATCCTGTTATTGCCCGGAGAAGTCAACAGTGCCAAGCGTGTGTACCAAGCATGCTGTATTTTTTACACAGTAGAAATGATCCTGAAGAACCGAGTGAAAATCACAGTCATACAACAACTCAAATTTACTTGAAGGAAGTTTGCTTTTTGCAAGGAACCTGTGATGAATTATTTGGTAAAGGAAAAAAGCCCTTTTGTAATGGGAATAATAATCTTCTATTTCTTCTATAAGTTTAGATTCTTGTGTCATTTTTTATTCAGTCTGCAATGTATCCTAAAGTATTGTAATGGAAAATAATGTGCTCTATCATATTCTAAAAAGATGATAATGTAATTTAAGTGTTTAATAAATAAAGAGCAAATACTTATTCATGGTGATAGACATTGTACCTGTTTATTGAATGCCTGCTATGCAGCCCACACTGTGCTAACAGCTTTATATACTCTGTCTTATCAGAGCCTCATTATTTGACAAATGTCATGAAGCTGGACTAGAGTAGTTTATATTGTATAGAGTTTGGAGTCTGAGTCGTGGGGCTGGGAGAGAACACAGAGGATCTCAGCTTAAGAGGAGGAACCCGTAGCCCAGAAATGGAAAGCAATTTCGCTTGAGACACTCCGCAAGTTATTGGAAAGGCTGGGATTAGAAAGGATGCTCCCAGGCCCCCAGCCCAGAGTCTGTTCTCCACACTGCCCTGTCTCTACTGCACATAGTACCTCATGATCTATGGATGCCAGATCATGGCAGTCGCAGGTCAAGGAATGAATAAATCATCAATAGGTTTTATATCTTAAAGTGCCCAGCAGCCATGAGTCCAGTGCCTTTTGTATCTGAGACCTGTTTAAGTCTGGTGACATTTGGCCAGATAAGGAATCCTACTGAAAACCAATGCTAATATTAATAATGGCCTTGGTAGTATATGTAAAGAAGAATATAGTTAAAAATGGAAAAATGTTGAAGGACATAGAAAATCACAAAAGACAGAGTAGTGGGCCCAATATAATTTCAGCCAGGGTTGGGCAAACTTTATCTGTAAAGGGCCAGATAGTAAATACCTGAGGCTTTGCAGTTTGTATGGTCTCTGTTGCAATTACTGACCTTTGCCATTGTAGTATGAAAAAAGCCGTCGACTGTACAGAAACACATGGTCAGGTCTGTGTTCCAGTAAAACTTTACTTACAAAACAGGTGGCAGTCTGGATTTGGTTTATGAGCTGTAGTTTGCTGACCTCCGATTTACACAATCCTGGTCCTATATCAAGAAATGTGAGTTGGTATGTTTCTGACTGCACTGGGGTATGTATTCTTTTGTCAGTCAGGCAGGAAATGGCTAAGCCTAAGTTAGGGTGGAGCAGTCTAGTGTTGCCCAAGGTCCCTGGTTATCCATGAGTGTGCCAAAGGCCACATTTCTCGGAGGGTATTCCTTACTGATAGAGTGGCTATTGAGTTTCACTCTTCTTTTTGGAAACACAGCTTAAGAGGTATTTTGAGCAGTGAAGTCATATCAGCTAATGTCTCCTAGTGGTAATGTTGTAAGGAGACTTGACTTGGGCTGGTGAGCACACAGCATAGTGTACAGACGATGGGTTGTGGGATTATGCATCTGAAACCTGTATAATTTTGTTAACCACTGTCACCCCAATATATTTTTAAAATTTTAAGTAAAACAAAAAATTTTTATCAATTAAAAAAAAAAAAGAAACAGAAGCCCCAGCCTTGGACTCACCAAATATCAGGCCTACAAACTGCCCCCCTGAACTTAATTCCCCACCCCACCATTGTTCTCCCTAGTCAGGCAAAAGTATTTCTGAATAATGATAATGATGGTTATGCTGGTTAATAATTATTGAGGACCTTCTATGTGTTGGGCAATTCACCTGACATTAATCTGTTTTCATCATTGACTCCTACCAACAACTCTGTGAGGCAGATACTATCATTTCCCCCATTTTGCACAATTTTGACAATTCAGGCTCAAAGAGGTTCATGGCTTGATCAAGGTCAAAGAGCAATTAAGTGGCTGAAGCAGATCTAAAGCCCAGGTTGTGTGATGATAAAGTCTATGGTCTTGACCACTCCACCACACTTCCATCTCCGCCCCAGGTTCTTGAGGGCACAGTTAGCCTGCCTTTCAAAGTAGTCATAGCCTCCATCTTCCTCTGAATCTGGGCCTGAGAATGTTTTCTCACTTCTCGCTCTCCCACGTCACTCTTGTCTGTCCTTGATTCCCAGTCTCAGGCCTGTAGCACTTTGCTCCTGGACTGCTGCGGTGGTTCCTGACCGGCCTTTATTTAAAACAGCTCTGTTGACCAGAGAGGAAGGGGGATGGATCATGGGAGAAAGAAGGGGAAGAGTGTAGTCAAGGAACATGTATAAAGGACCCATGCTAATGGACAACAGGGTGGGGGCAGACTGAGGGAGCAGGGAGTTGGGTGGGGCAGGGGAGCACAACAGGGGGAAAATTGGGACGACTGTAATTGAACAATAAAAGACCCAAAATAGCTCTATTGAGATACAGTTCACACACCATACAAGTGACCAGTAGTCCATTTAAGAACATTTTTGTCACTTCAAAAAGAAGCCCCAAACCCCTCAGCTGCCACACCATTATCCCCTGTCCCTCCTCTCTTCAGCTCTAGGCAACCATGAATATACTTTCTGTCTCTTTGGATTTCCCTATTCTGGACATTTCATATAAATGGAATCTCAGAGTATATGGATGCTTGCGACTGGCTTCTTTCACTTAGCATAATGTTCTCAAGGTTCATTATGCTTTCAAGGTTCATCAGTGTTGTAGCATATATCAGTAGTTTGCTCTTTTTTTTGGCTGAATA